TGCTGGGATTTATAGTTCACCTACAATCACAGAACATTCTGAACCCCACCAATGATAGAATTGGGCCAAACCTCCCACACAGAACCCCCATGTGGGCCACAGCAACGCGCGGCAGGGGACGGCTAGTATCTATATAAATTAAAATGTCATGTTCGTTTGTAGGATTAACAGAACTCAAAAACCACAGGGGGAATTAACACCAAATTTGGACACAATACACATATCAGGCCAACAAGTGACCATCACTCATAAAAACACTGAAAAACACAGAGGAAGAGATGTAAAAAGCCAAAAAAAGACATTATAATGTATGCACAAAACCACACACACACACATATATGCAAACACTTATATATACATATATACACAAATATATATATGCACAAAACACATATACACAGACTGGGCCACAGCAACGCGTGGCAGGGGACGGCTAGTACATAATAATATATAAAATATATAATAATATAATTGCTATAGATCAGCCATCAGAGATTGATGATTTCACTGATTTTTTTTTTTGGGGTCGTGTCAGGAGTGACTTGAGAAACTGCAAGTCGCTTCTGGTGTGAGAGAATTGGCCGTCTGCAAGGATGTTGCCCAGGGGACGCCTGGATGATTTGATGTTTGCATCATCTTTGTGGGAGGCTTGTCTCATGTTCCCGCATGAGGAGCTGGAGCTGATAGAGGGAGCTCATCAGCCTCTCCCCGGATTCGAACTGATGATTTAGGGAGGATTGTGGGCGTTCCCGTGACACAAAGTGGGAAATTCAAGTATGGGAAAGGGTGGTGTTCTCTATGAGAAAACCGTCTCAGAAAGTGCAGACCTTCAATGCGAGTCAGAAGAGGCAGAAGTAGCGACAGCAGATAAGGAATTGAGTGAAGAGCTGAGTGATAAGGAGGGATTCCCAGGAGAAACCACCTGCAGCTATAGAGATCAACAAAGCTCTTTGTTTATAAATCAGATCTGAAAATAGATCATGTCGGTCTGAGAAATTACATGGGAAAGTTGTGGAGAAAATTCACGGGAGACATAATGCTTTCATGGGTGTCTATTAAACAAGTTGTTTACTTTAGGAGCCGTTCAGGGAATGCTGCTTTAAGAGTGAGAAGCGAAGCCTGAGCTCTCTGGTTCCTGATTCAAGCCAAGCCTTGGTTTTGGATTTTAATATCCTGGAAATTTTCTATGTACTCTGGTTCAAGTTTCTACTAGTTATACCAGACAAGCATCCCGAGCTCTGAGGATGGCCTGGGAAGGAATCGAACTGGAGCATTGCAGCGCACCCAAATACCTGGGAGTCACTCTGGACCGTGCTCTGACCTACAAGAAGCACTACCTGAACATCAAGCAAAAAGCAGGTGCTGGAAACAATATCATCCAGAAGCTGACTGGCACAACCTGGGGATCACAACCAGATACAGTGAAGACATCTGCCCTTGTGCTATGCTACTCTGCTGCTGAGTATGCATGCCCAGTGTGGAACACATCTCACCACACCAAAAGAGTGGATGTGGCTGTTAATGAGACATGCCGCATTATCACGGGGTGTCTGCGCCCTACGCCACTGGAGAAATTACACTGCTTAGCCG